CACACCGATGTTTGGGGCCCGTATCACATCCCTTCTATGGGGGGGTACAGATATTTCTTGTTGTTTGTTGATAACTATACCCGTTTTTCTTTGAGGCCTTTATTTCTAGAGAATAATTTGTCAAGCATTGTAAAAAACTCTTATTTTCCTAGTAATAGTAGTTTTCCTTCTGATATTATGCATATTGATGTATTTGGGCCATATCATATTCCTTGCATGGGTGGTTATAGATATTTCATGGTTTTTGTTGGTAAATTCTTGTTACTCTTGGTTGTGTCTTATGCGATCTTTGGATGTGGTTCTTGTGTTGATTAAGCAGTTTCACTAAATGACCATTACTTAATTCTCCAAATGTATCAAAGTATTTTGGTCTAGTAATGCTAAGGAATACTTTGAGTTTCAGAGAGGAAGAATTGGCATATCCTGGAGGTCTTAAGGTGTATGTTCCCATTCAATATTAGGGGTATTTTATTCGTACAACACTATGTTTCTTATTAATAAAGTTTCATCTCGGGTTTTGGGATTAAAACTCTTTTCAATCTCCTATATCTCATTGATAATCTCTCTATTGTTTCCTCATGTGTGTTTGGATGTACATGTTTTGTTCATATTCTTGGTCCACACAAGTCTAAATTTGATCGGCTTTGAAGTGCAGTTTTTTAGGATACATGCAAAATAAAAAAGGATAATGTTATTATGACCTAGTGTCCAAGAAGAGGTATATGTCCATTTCTTTTCCTGATCTTTCTCCTGGGTGTACTTCTATTCCTGAAAGACAGGGACGTGTATCTACCATATCATAGCGTACTACAGGTCACCTTTGAGAATAATGATTCGGATGGTACTTCTACCATATCATAGCCTACTCAAGGTATTAGCACTATTCTTCCATATGATGATACTACTTCAATATCTGATTTTGATCTTCTTATTAGCTCTTAGAACAGAAAAAACATGTGTGTTCCTCTTCTATGGCTCAACTTGAATTGAGAAATAACATACTACTAGTTGCTGGGTCATTGCCCCATGGATGTGTCCACATGTGTTTCAAGGAGTCAAGAAGATGGTTTTCTCCTTTATTCTATTTCTCTTCAATGTTCCATTTTGAAACTCTAAAATGAGAACAATAATGGTTATAACAACTTTCAGTGGAGTAACAAATTACTTCTTACGGGTGCTGTTGATGGTCTTCTATGCACCCGACCATACCATGTTACTCTACTTTCTCTCATTTATCACCTATTCCTAGTACTCCTAAGTTCCTGTGAATGACTCCATTTCTAATCCTATTCTTTCTAGGTTTTTTCACTTGTCCATCTTAGCATATGCATTTCTGCTACACTCATTTTCTAGACATGTTGTTTCTTGACTGCCCAATACTCTACTTCATACAACATAGTAGGCTTTACAACTGTGTCATAGAATTTTCCTTTTAATCTAAGTAGTATTCACCTATTGCATAAAACTCTAGATGCAACCCTCAATTTTGGCCATCATGATCAAATTTTATAGGTGACATCCTCAATATCTCCCTTGTAATGAATTTTCGAACCAAGTGCCATAAAAGGTGACATTGAATTATCTATTGCTCTCCAATCCTAAGTGTACTTTGATTTGCACTCCCAATGTTATTAAACTTACATGTCATATATGTTGTTCTAATCAGTACTTCAAAAGGTGTGGGGCGCCTCCTGGTGAGGCGCCCCCAAAACACCCTGAGGCGTATGCTAGAGGCGCTGAGGCGTATGTCTCATGCACTTTTTTCATGGGGTGTGCTAGAGGTGTAACCTCGTGCGCCTCAAGCACACCTCATATAAAAAGACAAAAAAAAAGAAAAAAGAAAGAAAAAAGAAAAAAGAAAAAAAGGAAAGGAAAGGAAAGGGAAGGGAAGGGAAGGGAAGAGAAAGAAAAAGAAAGAAAGAGAAGAAAAAAGGGAAAAGAAAGAAAAGAAAAGGCAATGGACAAGAAGGGAAGGAAAGATAAGGGGAAAGAAAGTGGGTCGGGGGCAAAGCGCCCCAAATCCCTAGAATCCTTTTCAATGCAACCCCCCTTTCAACTAGTTCTATGCATTCTTCATTCTTCTTATTATAAAAGATTTTTATTAAAAATAAAGAAAAATGCAATCCTCCTTCCTCTTGTTCCTTCTCACCCCTCTTAAGAAGGCTTACGCCTCTTATGCTCTAAACTACACCTCATGCCTCCAGGTAGTGGAACGCCTCACGTCACACCTCCATGTTTTAAAACATTGGTTAATCCTACTTACTTTAAAACATCTTTGTTTATAAAGAATTTGTCCATAAGCTTAATTTTGCATTTAATCCTTAGTTCATTTCATCAATTAATTTATTACTCATCAAAAAACATGTACCATGGGACATCTTGCTGAATATGTTTAGTCAAATCATCCATGATCAGTGCAAACAAATAAGGGCAAAGTGCTAAACCTTGGTGAAGGCCCAGTGTAATTGTAAAATCTGATGCTTCTCCCACTAGTGTTCTAACATTAGTTGTTGTACCATCATATATGTCCTTAATTAGGTCTATATACCTATTTTCATCCCCTTTCTTTTCCAAGATCCACCATATTATTTCTCTAAGAATTCTATCATATGCTTTTTGTAGATCAATGAACACCATATGGAGATCTCTCTTTTTCTCTATGAATTTTTTTATCTATCTTCTCAAAGGCTGCGCCTGTTTTTGGTGTAAAGTTTTTATCGATGTAAAAGTATGTCGATTGAAAAGTATATCAATCGATTTTATTATGATTTGGCCTGCCCTTGAGTTTTGTTAGTCTGATAACAACCAAGAAGAGAGAAGAAGAAGAAGGAAGAAAGAAAGAGAGAGAGAAAAGAGGAATAAAAGGATTGGGCTTTCACCTACTGGTGTCTTGCCATTTTGCGAGGTCAATTTGGGATTGGGCTTTCTCCCAATTTGGATGTAGTTGGAATCCTCCATCAGACTTGCAAGGTCTTTTTCCCCTTCTTTTTTCAGGTGGCGGATAAAAAGGGGAAGGACTATGTGGAGAGGACTAAGGGCTGCAGTATGTTGGACACTTTGGGAAGAAAGAAACTCCAGGATATTCTTAGAAGCTGAGAGAGGAGCAGCAGATCTGAGGGCTATCATACATATTAGGGCGGTACATTGGCTGAAATCTTTGGAGCTATTCACAGATTACACTGTGGATGGCATGTCGAGGAAGTGGGGTGAAATTGCAAATTGCACATAGACCAAGTCAGTAATGAGTGTGGCTTGGACCCCTCCAGCTGGTGGATTCTTGAAATTAAACTTTGATGGGTGTAGTAGGGGAAATCCGGGACAATCGGGGATTGGGGGTGTTTTTAGTGATGAAAATGGGGTCATTTCTGCCATTTTCTCAGGCCCAATTGGAGTGGGTGACTCCCTTAGAGCTGAGATCTTTGTAGTTATGGAAGGAGTCTGGAAAGCTAAGGAGTTGAACATCAGGAAACTCATAATTGAAGGGGATTCAGAGGTAATGATAGGGTGGCTGATTAAAGATCACAATGGCTTATAGAAGTACAACAATGAGAGGAGGATATTCAAGTGGCTGGTGCGGGAGATGGAAGTTAAGACATTTTGGGTTAAAAGATCGGCTAATTCCCTAGCTGATGATTTAGCTAAACAAGGGGTAGAAAGGGATTCACTGTAACTTTAGTGTTTTTTTTTTCTTTTTTTTCCTTTTCTTGAGGTTCTTTGTTGCTCTTGGAAGATAAGTGTGTTTGTCTTCCTCTTGTAATTCTTCTATTGATGATTTAATGAAAATGTTATTGATGAAAAAAAAAGAGAGAGAAAAGAGGAGAAAAGGAGAGAAGAAAAGTTTGGTTCGAATAAGAGAAAAATTACCTCTCCCATTTGGCCAGACATGTTTTATATTACTAACATATTGGAAAACACACATGTGCCCTTACTAGTTCTAATATAATATTACAGATCAGCAACCTCAACATAAGTATAAAGACAGAAATACCCTTACACTAACACTCCCCCTCAAGCTGGTGAGTAGATATCATATAATCCCAGCTTGTTACATATGTAGCCCACTCTATGTATGGTCTGCAGGGGCATTTTTATCCTTTTTATGTTTTGTTTATTATCTGTACTGTCGCCCTAATATAAAATCTAATAGAAGAGCCGCCAGCAGTACTTTTGGCCCTTCACTCTCTTCTCTCTTCTTGTCATCTTCTCTTCTCCTCTTCTCTCTCTCTCTCTCTCTCTCTCTCTTTGACTTTGATAATACCTCCATTAGTGTTGGCCTAAGATATCAACTGGTTATTCTTTTGGTCAGTCGGGCAGAAAAGGTGCTTTGTTCACTGGTCTGATATGAAGTTGAGCATTCAAAAAAATAGACTATTATTATGTAATGAAGAGAAAAAACTAACAGAAAGTAGTCAAGAAGATATAGAAAGATGAGTGAAGTAGGAGAAAATGGAGTTGAGAGACCTGTTGCAGGAGAAGAGAAGAAAAATAAGGGAGTAAGCCCCTTTTGTTAGGCTCTTTATTACCTTGGTTTACAATTGTGTAAAAAGACCCCCCCCCCCAATTACATAACCGCAATTCACAAGTAGAAAAAGACTATATATATTGCCCTCCCAATATCGTAAACAGAAAAAACGGGTGAAATAAAAACAACAATCTACCATATGATGATTTTTCCCATTCAAGCATCCAGTCCTACCTGGTTTGCAGAACATGATTAGTAGCCTGGTTGTCACTTATCATTTGTTATATGCTAGACACATCTTCCAGCATGTCAATGTCATACTTTTTCTTTAATTTTATTAACAAGGCTTTAAATGTCTCATTTAATTGAGCTCTTAATATTTTCCAATTGCATTGGCTAGATAATTGGTTGGGACTAAGAGAGTAACTGATAAGACAAAAGCAAGTGAAGAGATGGTACTAGTATTAGTATCATATCATGTCTATGCTGAGGTACAAGACATGTAAAAGTATTTGGGAGTCTTGATATAATTAAAAGTGAGCTTGCTTCCAAATGATATTTCTGTCAATCGTTGTATCCAATTTTGTTTCATTAGTTCTAATTTGTTTCAGTGTCTGAAAAACAGGATTATGGTTTATCTGCAGCTGGCTCTTTTGTTTCCTCCCTGCCTCAAACAGTCAGAACCCGAATGGGGATGAAATTAGGAGAGAAGAGGAAACTGGCTGAATCTGGTATTGGTTTTATTTGGACTTACAGATATTACACATTGGGTTAAAAGAAAAAAAAATAAAAAAAGACTAGCTTCTCAAGCATCATAGAGTGGAATCTTGCTAGTAAATAGCAAAACAATGAAACACGTATGTCCATGCCCGGGTTTTCCAACATTCAACTTTCAAGTTTGTCTTTGAAACCATGAATGGTGTTCACCTTTAACCATTGGACCATTTGATGTTTGAGAAGCTACATTTTCCTTGTGTATATGGTTACAATTGCAATATTTTTTATTTGCAGGTCGAACTATAAATGAAGTTGTTATCAACTCAAGAGAAGAGGCTGCAGAGTGCATGCGAAAGGTTGTCAGGCGTATAGTTATGGTTTCAAGTGCAAGGCAGGCTATTGCTGGACTACTGGCTGCTGGTGGTGTCAATGCCGTTCGATATCTTGCAAGGAAGATGGTTAAGGCATGGAGATCCTGAACATGATTATTATGCCTTGTGTTCTTTTCGGTTTTTATTAATGTTAGCTTGGGTAACAAAACCTTCTAAAAGAGAGCAAGCATTAAAGACACAGTCTTGGGTCAAGCTTTGCTGAGCAACTTGCTCCAACAGGGATCTTACATCCAAAAAGAGAAAAAAAAAAGGAACAGAAAAGAAATAAACAAAAACAAAACAAGCACATATTTTCTTAGGTGCAAATACAAATGGGATATTTATGAAGGATGACAATCCTTGAACAATGTTGAGAAGTCCATTGAAAACTGTAATATGCACTCTTACAAATTTTCAGAGCATTGTCAGAATGAAATTGACAATTTTCTGCATTCATTTGAAATGAACTGTTTAAATGCATGTGCTGGTTTTCTGCATAGAGGCTATGTATGATCTTAGTACATTTGTTGCTGATATAAAAGAAAAAAGAATGTTATACTTTTATAGAACATTGATACTCTATCCCTCTTGATTGAATGCATCTACAATGTGCCCATTTATTGTAGTGTTGAATATTTCATCTCTTCATCATTATCATCTAAGCCTTGTCCACATGCCCTATTATATGGGGTTCACCACATGAATCCTGTTTTGCATTCCGTTCTGTTTACTGCCATTATCATACCCATTGTTAAACTATGAGTGCTTAAATCATTTCTTACTACTTTGGCCCATGTTCTTTTTAGTCTGCCCCTAGCCCTCCTAGCCTCTTCAACTTTTAGCAGATTACTTCTTATGGGTGCTGTAGGTGGTCTTCCATGCATGTGACCAAACCATCTTAGTTTGTTTTTGTTAGAGTCAACAGTCCAGGGGTATTTGAGTCATTTGGTAGTGCTTTACTTCAAGGTGTTTTGTCTATTATGTCTGATATCAAGTAGAGTCATTTGAACCATCCCTTTTTCTTCCCTTCTTCTTCTCTTTTTCCTTTTATTTCAGGAGGGAAATCAAATGTGATTGAACTAATAACATGGTATCAGTCTATCAGAGCACTGATTTCTTTCCAGTTTTTTTTTTCATCGCCTTACAGCACACCTATTCTGAGATTTCTTGGTGATTACCTATTAGGTTCGAAGAAAGAACAAAAAGGAGTAATCGTTTTTTATCTAGGGTGGTATTCGTGGCTCCAATTGTTGTAGTAAGTGTTGTTTCAGTGGAGTTTTAGAGAAACCCTCTAATCGATGTATCAAAGAGGGACTGCCAGTGATCAGTTTGTGTGCAACAGTTCGTGTGGGGTGTTTCAGTGATCTGAAAGGGTACAGTTGTGGATTTCTGGACTTATTGCCCATTAGCAGGTATGCATAAGAAGTGAGTTTCTGTGTTTCTTGTTAACGGAAGTGAGTGATAGGTGTGAGAATAATGCTGAAATCTGTTACAACACATGTTTCTGCTGTAGTTGATTGGTAGTGGTGTAGTGTGGCGTTGTGAGAGTGAAGTTTCCTTTTTTAATATCCATGGCAACCCTAGGAGAGAACAGTGATAAAAAAATTCAGTGTTATGATTCCCTTTGATTTTCTGAATGTACAAATGACATCTATCAAGTTGAATGGTGAGAATTATGTGCCATGGGCCAAGTCGGTGTAGGTCTTTCTTAGAGCTAAGAAGAAGGTAAAACATGTGAAAAAAAAGACAAACCCTTGGCTGATTCCCAAGGATATAGTGGTTGGGATCAAGAAGATGCACAGACTATGACGTGGTTGTGGAATAGTATGAAACCCAAAATCAATGAGTTTTATGTTTCTTGATATAGCTAAGGAGATATGGGATCATGCCAAGAAGTTTGTTCTAGACAAGATAATACTACAAGAGTATATCAGTTCTATCAAGAATATTTTAATCTATAACAAAGAAATCAAACCCTTGAGGAGTATTATGCTAGTATGAGAAACCTTCGGAATGAGCTCAATATCTATCATCCTTGGACATCGGATATTAAAACTCAGCAACAATAAAGGGAGGAATTGGATGTGACTAGATTTATAGTTAGTTTGGCTAAGTATGAACGTGTTAGAGCTCAAATGCTAGGAGGCTCTGTTCTTCCTTCTCTTGAGGAGGTGTTTGCATGACTCCGTAGGATTATTATTGGGTCTTTAGAGAGTTCCACCATTTCAGATAGATCAGTCTTTGCAATGATGAGAGGGTGAAGCTGTGGAAATAGAGGAGGTCGTGGAGTTCAAGGAGGTCATGTGGACCTACGTTAAAACATGGTAGTGGACGTAGTGGAGGTCAAGACTCAGGGGGAGGTTGTGGTTATGGGCCTAGGAAGTGTACACATTGTGGCATGGAAGGACGCACTGTAATGGGTGACCTTCTACATGGGCCAATCATGTAGTGGTAGAAAGTGGTGGTGAAGCAATTGATGCCCAATAGACCAACCAAGTACCCTATACATCTAGTGCCTCTAGGAAGGAAATGATGAGTATTCCATGTGGTGAGTATGAAAAGTTTCTTTAGGATACCTCTCAGTAGAATACTATCACTCTTGCCCACTTAGGTATGGTCCATGTGATTGGACTATTGATTTTGGAGCTTCCGATCATATGATTAGACTCCAAATTTGTTTTCCTCCCTTTCTTCATCTTCTACATCACAAATAGTTACTTTAGCTAATAGTTCTATCTCTCTCATTTGTGGTGTTAACAATGTTGACATTGCATCATTGTCTTTATCTTCAATTCTATATGTACTCAAATTCCCTTTTAACCTTATGTTTGTTTCCAATTTGACCAAATCTCTCAATTGTTTTATAACTTTCTTTCCTAGTTGTTGTGTTTTTCAAGATATTAAGACGAGCATAATATTGGAGGGCATAAAGTTGGTGGATTGTATTATCGCTCCACTCCTCTCTTACACCTCTCCAGTGGTGTTGCAGGATTGGTCATCATTCTCTCAAGACACTTCAGTTACTTGTTCTGTCATTGCTTCTTTTTTTTTCATTGGAATGTGAGTCGTGTCAGTATGGGAAACACCATAAGGTTTTCTTCAGTCCTAAAGTCGATAGTCATAGTTTGAGTCCTTTTGCTTTAGTCCATTATGATATTTTGGGCCCAAACAGAGTTGTGGTGTACAATGGTTATAAATACTTTGTAATTTTTGTTGATGATTATTCAAGGATGACATGGTTTTATTTTATGAAAGAAAAAAGTGAATTGTTCTCCATTTTTCAAAAAATCCATGCTAAAATTTGCTTTCAATTTGGTGTCACATTAAGATTTTTCATTTTGATAATGGGAAAGAATATTTCTATACATCAATTCAAGAATACTTAGAACAACATTGTATCGTTCATCAAACCACATGCACTTATACACCTCAACAATATGGGGTGGCCAAACGCAAGAACCACCACGTACTTGAGACTGCTCTGTCCCTTTTGAACCATATGAGTGTTTTCTTTATTAGCAAAATGAGTTATTTATTAGTGATTGGAAAAGTTTACAAGTCTTTGCTACATTGTAGCCCAAATACAACAAAAACCAGATTGGCCACCCTAATTACCTTGCCCCCTTTTTCCTATTACAGATTATAACATTGCCCAAAATAGGGTGGATCTGCCCACTCCTTATTTTGTGAGAACATTTGAGAACATCTGCTAGCCCATTTGCTGTTCTTTTTATCCATCCAAAGCTAATGTTACAATTTTTTGCAAGGTAGTAAATTTCCCTAAAGGAAAATTTATATTTTCTGAGGAGCTGAATTGATTTATTTTGCCCAGAAAATAACCAATAAGGAATCTCCTCCCACTTCAAGCTCTCTAACACCCAGCTGTGTTTCCGGTTTTAATTCTTGTAAGATAGCCATTGTCTCATCCTTAACCGAGTCACCAAATCTAATTGACCTAGAGAATAAGGCCACAACTGCACCTTGATGGTTTCTGAAAGCTCCCACTATACCCACCCTCCTCGGATTACCAAAGGAGCTCCCATCAAAGTCATTTGTTGAAACATCTCTGAAAAGCTCCATTGCTTTAGCCTAATGTACAGATCTGATCCTTATGGATTCAATCACTTCCTCCACTAACCTATTCTTTTCATGGAAGATTCTCTGGTTTCTCTCTTTCTAGATGGTCCATACCAGGGTTGCTCTTGTTATTTTCCGAAGGCATCTTCCCCTTTCTTCTGCTACCTCAAGAAACTGGAGATGAATAGGCTAATCACATCTTGTGGGGGTACTCATATGCAACCAAAAAGAGAGTAGTAGTCCCAAATACAAGTTACAAACGAACATGAGTGTAGTAAATGAGGAAGGGTCTCACCGTTGGCCTTGCAGAGGAGAGGGGCAATTATTTGGCCTTCTTTTCTGTAGCACATTATAGGTGTTAATCTTCCTGAGGAAACTTTCCCAAGAAAGATGATGCACTTTAGGAGGGATTGGTTTGCACCAAATTTCTCTCACCGGGAGATTTACCCCCAAGGGTTCTAAACTAATAAGAAGGTTAAAGAAAGAAGCACAAGAGAAGTGACCATCAGGAGAGGGGTACCAAACTCTACCGTCCAAGAGATTTTGATCCAAGAAAACCTTTTCCAAGAGAGAGAGAGTAGGAGGATAAGGGATTCACACTCATTGTCCTTCAACCCCCTTCTGAACTCAAAATCCCAATTTAAACCAAGTGTTGAAGGCCTGTTGAACCTAGAGACTGGTTCGTTCTTAAGGTTTGTTAGAGAGTAAAGTGTTGGGAATTGTAGTTTGAGTGGTAAGTCCCCAAACCAGAGGTCTTCCCAAAATAAGACTTTGTTCTCACATCCCACATCATAACGAATAGAATTTAAAAAAGTAGGTAGTAGCTCATAGATTGCCTTCCAAGCTGAAAATGCAGAAGTGTGAGGCGCCAGTTCTGCATTCTAGCCATTTTCTGCTACACGATGAATGCTTTCAATGATCTTGTGCCACAATCTGTCTTTTCTAAGGGAAATCTCCATAACTATTTTCCTAAAAGAGATGCCTTTCTCTTAGTCAGGTTCCCAATTCCCAGGCCTCCTTGTTCTTTTGGTTTATACACCTGTTCCCACTTAACCAAATGATCTTTCTTTTCATCTCCTAGCTCCTACGAAAAATCCCTCATCAATTTTTCTAATTGCTCTGCAATTTTCATCGGGATTTTAAAGGTGAGAAGGTAATAGGTGGGCAAATTTGCTAAGGTGGATTTGATCAACGTAATTCTTCCCCCTAAAGAAATATGGTTTCTCTTTCAAGAAATATTTTTTTTGCAAATCTTTCCACTATTGATTTCCAAAAACTCCCTGCTCTAAGGTTTCCTCCCAACAGCATACCTAGGTACTGTAGGGGCAAAGTTCTCACTCACAGCCTAGGATTTCAGCCAAAAGTGATATGTACTCCTCTCCATAATTTATCCCAGTCACACAGGTTTTCCCCCAATTGACTTTCAGGTTTGATATTCTTTGGAATCGGTCAATTAAGGCTTTCAAATTCCTTGTACTGAGCTTTGTACAACTCTCACAGAAAGTGATTATGCCGTTAGTAAATTGCAGATGTGTCGCAACCTCATTTCTTCCAATTCTCCGCCCTCTAGATTGACCTTCGAGATCAGCCTTAGTGATCAATTTACTCAAGACCTCTGCAATGAGGGTGAACAAGAAAGGGGATAAAGGATTTCCTTACCTTAAACCTCTTTTAGCCAAGAAATCCTTTGCCACACCATTAATCAGAATTGAGAAGTGTGTTGAGCGAATACAACCATTGACCCACTTCCTCCATCTTTCTCCCAGACCTATTTTTTCCATCAGACTCATGTGGAAAGTCCAATCCACAATATCATAGGCTTTTTCCATATCCAATTTGCAAATTAAGCCTACCCCTCATTGCCTTTTCTTTTCTGCTACACACTCATTTGCCACTAGATTTGGTCGATTATTTGCCTTCCTTCAACAAAGGCTCCTTGATTTTGAGAGACTACCAGAGGCAACACAGTTTCAAATCTTCTTGCCTACACTTTAGTTATGATCTTGTATAGGCTACTAAGACTTCTGGGTAGGGGTGGCAATTGGGCAGCTTGGGTTGGGTTCGGTTTGGGTTATGCTTCAACCCCACCCATCCAACCCAATTAGGAAAATTTAAATGGATTGGGTTCAACCCAAAACCGCCTTAACCCAATCCAACCATCCCAACCCATTAATCCTACATATATAAATTACAAAAAATATAACAAAAATTATAAAAAAACATAAAAACAAAATTTACAAGAAAATACAACAAAAGTTATAAATAAACATAGAAAATGAAAAAATAACAAAGATTATAAACAAACAGAAAATAAAAATAACAAAAATTACACCATAAGTAAGAGTTTTTGTGTTCAAACTAGGCTTTGGCAGGGTCAAGCTCGAACTCAGGCTTAGACATTCTCTGTTAATAGAGGCAAAGCTCAATCCAAACCCGATGAAACACAATTCATGAATAGGTCTATTCAACACCAATTGATGAAGACTCTTGCATGTTGGGCCTGACCCATTACTATAGCACGTGGGCCATGCTACAACATAACCCATACCTCCAGGCCGTGTTTGGCTTTGATTTTTAGGCACATGGGCAGGCATGACACAACACGATTTTTTGCCACGGGCCATGGCCCCACACAACCCATATATATTTGTATTATTATATATAATAATTATATAATTATCTAATAATATATATAATGTATTAAATACATTTTTATTTTCAATTTTATTCCAATTGTATTGTAATTTTTTAATTTCATTTTATTATTTCATATATAAACAATTATGCATCAAGCACGACCCACATAGGCCTGCTAAACATTGGCAGCTGACAAAGTCGGGTCGTGCCAGCCCGACATGGCCCAATTTACACCTCTATTGTTGCATAAGTCACATGATAAATAATAAAAATATAAGAAGAGGAAGAATGAAAATTTGTTTCTCTTCACATGCACCAATTGTTGTTACAGGGCATATCGACCTGTATCGGTATTTTTTTTGTGTTTTATTTATTTTTTTCAAAACCGGTTTAGAGGGGTTGGTTTAAGTCCCGGCTACCCTCTGAACCATGGCCTGACCCGATACACCCCCTGTGGGGCGTATCGGGAAGGCCTCGATACGATACGTATCGGTCGATATGGGCTGATACGTAACGATCATAAAAAATGTAATCTAATAAATAGTGGCTTCTCTGTGCATAAAAAATAATCATTTCCAAGGAAGCAAACAACCAATTTTTTTTAATAAAAAATAGGTATACCTCCCCTAACATTTTTTATAAATAATAACCTCTCCAGACCTTTAAACGCTCCAAAGACCTCCCACGACCTTTGTGTAAAATATGCTTACTGACCCCTTTCAGTAATTACATGTTAGAAACTTAACAGAAATATAAAGCCCTAGTTGGCATGTCTTTTTGCATGGACTATCGGATTTTTAGAAGCTCGGCAGCCCACATTTTGATCTTTTTCCATTTGGTTGGAAAAAGATCTAGTTGGCGAAAGCCGCAACTTCGAAAAGACGTGGAAAGCCCATTTCGAGCTATTTTCAGGAAGCTCCAAATGGAGCTTTTCGCCTTTTTTTAACTCATCTTCGTGCGGAAAGACACGCCTTAACCAAATGGTTTTTAAGCTATTAAGATCTTGATGCAAAAGCTCATGTTGTCTTTTGACTGTCAGAGCTTCCAGAAGATCTTTCAAAAAGTACTTGCCAAACGGCCCCAAAATCTATTGCTCTAAATTTTTTTAAAATATCTGGTTACCCATGAACAATGCCTTTTGCTCTTTTTTGACTGAAATTACCCTTACACTGGTTTAGGGTAGTTTTCTTTGTTGTTTGCACGTAGGTTTTTTTGCAGAATCTTCGAGAAGAGTGAGTTGGGTGAAACTTGGAGAATATGAAACTAAGAATGGTTAATAATCATAGAAGGGTAATTTTGGTAATGGTTAATAATAATAGAAGGGTAATTTTGATATTAAAAACTTTAACTTTTCTGATAGACAAATAAGGGTAATTTTGGTGTTAATAAGCATATTTTACACCAAAGGTCAGGGGAGGTCTTTGCAACATTTAAAGGTGAGGGGAGGTTTATGTACTTATAAGAAATCAGGGGAGGTAAAAATACTTGTTATAATAATATAAGAAAAAGGAGAAAACTTGGTTGTGTATATGTGT